GGAAACACAGAGCCCTGGGAGCAAAGGCCGACAGCAGATAAATCCCACTGACCTCGCTTTCACGGCCTTTGCTGGTGATAGCTTTCTCTCTCGTCGCCTGACCTGTTCAAATCCTTTGGCAATACCCGTCGTAAAGAATTTCCAACATGCGCTTCACGTCTTTCCTGCCCGTGGCTGCTGCAGCCCTGATCTTCGGTGTGGCTTCGGCAGCAGATCCGGCGTGGGACGTGCCGCCTCCTTGTGCTGTAAGTGCCCAGCTGTGATCGTCACGGCCCTTCCCATCCCCCTGCCCTTCCGTGCGCCACCCGAGACAAGCGTGGTGATCTTGAGCTAATCGATTGTCGCCATCACCGTAGGTGAACTGCACCATGTCCGTGTTGGGAAGTGGCACCGCAACCACCTGCTCGCCAACCGATACTGCCTGTCTCTGCGCCGACGAAAGCTACCAGGCGTCGGTTGCAAAATGTGTTGCGTCGACCTGCACAGTCAAGGAGAGCCTCGTCGCCAAGCGTCTGGGCCAGCGCCAGTGCGGTGTTCCGCCCCGGCCTCAGCAGAATGACGTTGCATCCTTGACCGTCCTCTTCACCATCACCTTCTTCCTGGTCATGGTACGGCTTACGGTCAAGTTTACCGGCCATTATGGCGGCTGGGGCATCGATGACTGGCTGATGCTCATGGCATTTGTAAGTCGGCGGCCCCCAAAATACTCATGCGGGAAACTAACGCTGTGACCTTATCAGTCCTTCTCCATTGCCCTCTACGGCGTGCACCTCTGGCGCATATATGCCCTAGGGCTCGGCAAAGATACGTGGGAGGTGCCTTTCGCCAACATCACCAGGATCTTGGTGGCCTTCTTCGCCAATGAGATGCTCTACGTCGTCCACATCTCGGCCACCAAGCTTTCGGTGTGCTTCTTCTTCATACGGATCTTCAATACATCGTCTGTCTTCCGCCGCATCACATACCCGGTCATCGGACTCAACATATTCATCGCGGTATTCTTCGTCGTCATCATCATCTTCCAGTGCGGCAATAAAGTCCACCTCGCCTGGACTGGCTGGGCTGCAGAGGAACCTGGCCGCTGTCTTGACATTTACAAGCTTGTCCTGGGAAATGGAATCATCAACCTTGTCATGGACGTCGTCATCATCGGTCTCCCGATCTACGAAACATATCAGCTTCAGCTCTCCAGGAGCAAGAAGCTCGGTGTGACCGTCATGTTTGCGATGGGATTTGTGTACGTACCTGTCCTTCTCATTTTGTCTTCCCGCATCACAGTCCTGGGATACTACTCTCAGTCATGTACTAAAGTACCCGTCCAGGCTCACCATCGTCGGAATCGTCCGCTGCGTCACCTTCTGGCGCACCCGCGCCATTGCAAACCCCACAATCAACCTCATGCCTCTCGCCTACTGGTCCTGTGCCGAGACTCTGGTCGCCATCATGTGCGCGTGCCTACCCGATAGCCGCTTCTTCTTCTCGAAGCTCGTCCCAAAATTCTACAGGACTTTGTCCTCGTCAATTTACCACAAGTCATCCAACAGGGCCTCCAGCTCGCCGGGCTCATGGCGGACGCTGGACAACATCAACAGCTCAAAGGGGTCCTCTCAGAAGCCGATCCAGAGGCCCAACAAGGCGTCCCGCAAGAAGGAGGCGGACGAGGAGGAGATGACTGGCATCACTGTCACTAAGTCCACCGTCACGGCGTCAACGGTGTCTCTGTGAGGCTTTGCGACAAGGAATGTGTGTCGGAAGGAGGAGCGAATGGACCGGGCTGTATCATTACAAGGTATAGAAAAGGTTAATGTGTGAATCAAGGTGTGACACCATTTATAGAGGAATGTTGCAGAACTTGAAAAGACTTAGCTAGGAGATAGGGATCTTTGCTGCCGGTTGCTCCGAGGTTCTTCGTGTCAATATATATTATTCTTATTCTTTGAAGTTGCAAACAGTCCCGGTTCTCGTCGATGACTATTGTCCCAAGGAAAGCGCTTCTCACTTACGTTGGCAGTGTCCCGGAACAAGCATGTGCTCAAGAAAATTGCTAGCCTGCACAGGTGTGCAACTTGCCAAGTTAGGAGATTTCTGACTGCACTCGCCTTCCACAAGGTCATCACTGTATAAAAGCCATATTTAGAGATACAGAAACATGTTTTCGTGTCCTTGGCGGAATAAGCCACAGCTTTGCGCAACAGAAATGATGCCTGTCGGATTTCAGTCAAGAAGGCCGTGCCGTCGTACCTCGAACCGTCGTCGGGATTGTGTATTTCCAACATTTATCTCCGGGCCTGGGTGCTCACTCTAGCCCCGCCAAGCAGCCGTAATCCGAAGTCCGGCCCCAACTGACAGCCCTAAGGCTGATGACTGACGCGTTAAGCCCTGAGCGATTCAATCGATGTAGTAAGCATGCTGGCTCAGCCCAATTAAGGGTATCTGGAATTTGTATAAATGCCTGGGAAGCACAAGAAACATCAAGATGGTTGAAGCAAGGCATTTCCACAACTCATAAACGCACTATAACCTCCCATCGTTCTTCAAGTATTCATAATTCATAATCTTCCGACGCATAGTTGCAATCATGGTTGGCATCCGTGATGTATTCCCACCGAAACCAAGCTTCACAGAGCAGAACCTTGGGAGCCAGGCCGGGAAGGTAGAAGATTACAATCTCTTTCCTTTGAAAAAATACTGAGCTGACAATTATCAGGTATTTATTATTACTGGCGCAAACTCAGGTGTTGGCTTCGAGTTGGCCAAGCTGCTCTACCAAAAGAACGGCACCGTCTACATTGCCGCCCGATCGGAAAGCAAGATCAAAGCCGCCATCGAGAGCATAAAGCAGGAGTTCCCCTCCAGCACCGGCCGCCTCGACAGCATCGTGGTCGACCTGTCCGACCTGCGCACGATCAGCCCCGCGGCCCAGGACTTCTTAACCAGAGAAGACAGGCTCGACGTGCTCTTCCACAACGCCGGCGTGATGCTGACGTCCAACGACGCCAAGAGCCCTCAGGGCCACGAGCTGCGCATGGCCACCAACTGCCTGGGCCCGCAGCTGCTGACGGACTTCTTGGCGCCGCTGCTGGTCCGGACTGCCCGGGCTCAACCGTCTCAGAAGGACTCCGTTAGGGTCGTGTGGGTGTCGTCGATGGTCAATGCAAATGGGCCTAAGGGTGGCATCATCTGGGATGAGGCGCTGAATAAGCCCAAGCTCCTGTCCGGTGGCATGGACCAGTACATGCAGACCAAGGTTGGGGACGTGTTCTTGGCTCATGAGTGGGGTGAGCGTCTTGCTGGTGATGGGATTGTGAGCGTGGTGAGTTTAAACTGCCTCTGCTCCTCTTGGCCTGGATTTGTACAGGGCAATTCTGACCAAGCTGTAGAGTTTGCATCCGGGCCTCATGAGGACTGAACTTCAGCGTGACAACAAGGCAATGCAGACCATGATGGTAAGTACAACATGTCTGTGTTTCATAAAACCCGACTAACGGTTGTTCAGGGGATCATATTCAAGCCGGCCAAGTTTGGCGCCTACACTGAGCTGTTTGCGGGTTTCTCGCCGGACGTCACGGTGCAGAAGAATGGGTCCTTCCTGATTCCGTGGGGACGCTTCAGCTCTCTTCGGGACGACATTGCTGCAGGGACCAAGACGAAAGAGCAGAATGGAACGGGACTTTCGAAAGTATTTTGGGACTATTGCGAGTCTGAAGTTGGGTCGTTCAAGCAATCTTAAATACCAGGAAGAGGAAGGTAGTCAACCTTCACAGATTTTGTAATAATTTGTGATATAGAGTCAGCATCCGAATCAAGCGCATTGGCAATTCCTACGTCTGAATATGTAGTCAGTCCCCAAAACATTGATGTACGTAGGCACAACATATTTCTATACAAACATGAGGGGCCTCCTTGCTATTGCAACCCGTCCATTTCCAAGTCACCCCATGCAAAATCCCCCCGCATTGTCTGGCAAGCCACCCGCGGTGTTAGTCTTCTCGGGGACATCCACACACCCTGTTCCTTATTCATTGCCCTCTGCAGTCTTGACCAGAGCATCTGCTCACTCGCCCGGGATTCTAGCAAATGCGGAATGCCCCTCTTAAAGCCAAGGCCAGCGCTCAACTGATGCTGAAGAGAAGTGGGGAAAGCTCGGTCATTTTCACATACGACGTAGGTGTTTGGGATGGAGACGTTGGGCATAGCAAAGTCGATCGGTTGTGTCACAGCCGCGTAAGACTGGGCTACAAGTAGTTCGTGGAATTCCTGAGCCTTCTCATGCGGTAGTTTGCTTTGCATGTCGTCTTTGGGCCTTTCTTTAACAGTGAGTTGCTTCTATAGTTGACGGAACTAATTGCAACGGGGATTGGAGGTAAGCCGTGGTTACTGTGCCCTCCATCAGATTGTGCCGATCATGCATCCCGTCAATAGGGGCTGGATTCTCGCAGTAATCTTGGTAACGGGAAACAGAAAGCCAGCAGAAAGCCAGCACCCTATAGAGGGCCAGCAGCCTACAGTGGATCAGCGAGCGGGAAGATCCCATCTTTTGTGGATATTTGAGATTTCGAAGAACAGACTTCAAGAACTATATCGCCCGACATCGTTTTATATCCCAATATTGAGCAGCATGTTGGCCCTGGCTGTGCTTGATTGTTACCTTCCAGCTGTTTATCCTTGTGGCCCCTTGCGTCCTTAAGAACATGGATCGGATAAAACCCTGTCCCCAGCTGTGGAAGGATAGTCTTGAAGGTGAGCTCTGGTGGTTCTCGGGTTTACAGACGTTGTGAATGGATAGTGTTGAACCTGGACGTGCCTCATTATGAGCGCAAAGGTGGTGTAATAGCCCTGGAGGAGGGGGTCCTGCCTCAATAGATTTCACAGTTCACCTTACGCGCTCGGTACAGAGCAAACCAGGCTGTCATCCAATTATTTGACCTCTCAGGGCTACCTCGATTCTCAGAACCCTTCCATTTAGTGACAAGCTTCCATCCTACATCAAGCAAGCTCAGTCCTGCGTAGTGTAGGGGTCAGCACACCAGCTTGTCACCTAGAAGATGCCTTCGCTGGTAACCCCGGTTCGAATCCGGGCGTGGGAGTCCTTTTTGCTCCCTTTCACCTAAGGGAAGTCAGCTTGAGAGGTCTATTACTGAGATGTGAGTGCATGTTAGCTGCTCGAAAGGGGGAATCTCGTGTGGGTCTGGTCATAGAGCTGTGGCTGAGCGTTCCAGGCAGCAGACAGTTCACGGCACAGCAGTCAGTGCATGGTGACTGGTCCCAGGCAGCCGCAGAGACATTACTGTAAATCAGTCGTGTCTGCAGTTCTTTGCAGTAAAGTCGTGACCACTCAACGCGTGAGTCACCCCGTAAATGCGATCGATCCGTCATGGCCGACACACAAAACCACACCTGCGAATCGGCGTCATCGACCACAGCAGTTGACTCTGGAATGGCTGGGATTTTCCTCCTCTGCTATCTGCCGTCGCCATTATTCCACTCGCATTGGGCTGTTTTCGTCCCCGAACAAGCAAGGCCGAAGTGTGGCACTGTCCTTAACGTTCGAGGCGATCCTCTCAACGGCTTCGTGCATGAGTTCGAGAGGGGATACATCCCCAGCGAGGACCCAGAGAAGCCACCGGCAGTGCTGAAGTTGGGGACAATAGCAATCAGTCTCATCCAATCTCAGAAGACTGCACCAGATGGCAAGGATAAGACAGCATGTAATCAGTTGGAACGGCTGGCGCTCTCGATCGACGCGCCTGGACGAAGCCTTGGTCGAGGAGCCTCGAGAGATGTAAGTTGGATTTCTATTTCGATTCCGATAGCTTCAGAAAGCTCAGGCTATTGGATTCTCGTCTTGCGTGACTTGGAATGAATCTTGCTGATCCGATTGCCCGCCGGACAGGGCCGCGTGCGTGTGGAAATTCGTGACTGCCAGTGGTGGGTTCGTCAGTTGGTGTCATCCATGATCGAACAAAACATAATCTCTAGAGACGCTCAGCGTGTTCTAGACCAAGCGCCTCAGCACTGAATCATGACGGGGTTAAATCTTATTTTAGTTGACAGCAGCGGTGCGTACCCCGGGCTGTAGCATGCACATCGGCCCGGGCCTTGGGAGACACTGGCGTCAGCGGCCGAAATGTGCTGCTGGTCATCGGCGATCTGTGTATGACCGGATGTCGTCAGGCTCGAAGGCCAGTGACTAGGGTGGTCAGGCTCGGCGTCGGGCAGATGGTCTGGATGGGTACGGAGTATGTGTCTAGGCCGGGCGCGGTGAAACGTCATGTTGTCAACCAGGAATATCCCAGCAATCGGCCTTCGACCTCGGTGAGAAGCTCAAATCACGCAACGAAAAACACAGACCCGAAGCGTAGTGGTTGGGCATCACGCAGTGCCGAGGGACCCAACTTCGATATCGGACCAGTGTCGGCCTTTGTCGACCGCAATACATTTTGTGTTTGCTCTGCGGAAGTGAATTCTAATGATAATTGAGCCTATGACATTATCGCTCAGAGTCCTTGGCACGTCGCCCGACTCAACGTCTAGAAGAACCCAAAACTTCTCCGTGTACGGATTTAGATCGTCCGTTCGCGTGTTTTGACAATTTCCCTCAAATCTCAGCGTCGTGACTCTACTCCCTTCTCCCGTAACAACACATCCGACCAGATTCAGCTACCTCTATGAAGTCACCTGAGATGCTTCCAGCGCAATGCCGCTGCTGGTACCGGATAAAGTCAATATGAATTACGCAAACATGATTGAGGAGGCAAGCCTCAAAGTGAGTTGCCGGACAGGCGGGAGAGGGTGCCAAAATGGGCGCATTATGGGCATGTCCGAAGTCGCTGACCATGCTAGAAAACTTTTATTGTAGCAACACTTGTTTCCACGCTCGTTGGAACATTTGCAGCCTCCCACAATCTTTACGAGAGGTTGAGTGGAGGACAGAAGAAGAAGGATGAGGGCCAGGACGACCAAATCAAGAAGCTGAAAGGGGAGATCGAGCAGATGAAAGGCGCCGGGAAGAGCGACCAGAAGAAGCCAGACGAACTCGGGAGAAATCTGAACACCTCAGGGCCGGTGATTAAACAGGAGTATGACGTCGGCTATGACAGGCTCGGCCGGCGGTTTGCGGTGGGCGACAGTAAGTGACAGCGCTGATCTCTTTTGCGGCCGTGAACCCAATCTACGGTGTTGAATGAAACACTGCCATCTCAATGCAACCAAGACTGGATGAACCTCACACTACACATGGTCAGGCTAACGACTTTACAGTGATCACAGAGAACGAGCTGCAGAAGCAGATCATTCTGCTTCAGCAAACCGTGAGTAAGTGACGTACGAAACAATGTCCCCATGCCGAGTCTGGGCATCATGGGAGGGGGACCAGATCAAGGCTTCCGGGATCTAACTCGAAGTCTCTCGGCTCTGAACCCACCATGACTTCTTCTTCAGATATAGAAGAACGACTATTGACAAATATGTAGTTGGTGTCCTCGAGGACGCACTTTATAGCGGTCGACAGATCGACCGCGCCGGCGTTGACAGGCTTGTGTATGCCTCCAGAGCAGCACGAAATGGGTCCCTCGACGCATTGCAGGGCCAGTATCAGAGGTTATTACAGTCTGCGCCACCTCCGCGAGTCCCAGCGATCGCAGAAGTGATCGAGCTGAGCTCCCGCGGATCGTCGCCTCGGCGTCCCCCTCCCCCGAGAGCTCTGTTACCACCGCTGAGATCAAAAACACTGGCGCCGCCCCCGCCGTCGCCGGCACGCTCGTCATCGAAGATGAGAAACGCAAAAGACTTCTTCTGCCGGTACAGCATCGACCTGCAGCACTCGTCCAGGATGCCACTGGCCCGCTCCTTCGACCCGGGGCGAGAGAGCCTGTGCCCGGCGTGCAAGCTCCGGATACCGGTTGACGCGGACGACATGTGGGATGTCGACTTCCACATCAAAGGCAAACTGCCGCCGGCCCCGGCGCACCCGCGCGCGCCGAGCCCCGGACCGTCGAGGTCATCGAGATCGCCTCCCGAAAAGAAGAAAGAAAAGCAGTCGCCACCGGAGAACGGGGACACGGCGGCGTCAAGGGGCCGCAGCAGGACGGGCAAGGAGGTGGTGGCGGTCACGCAGCAGTCGGGCAAGAAGCTCACATTCCGAATTCCTGCGAGGTTTGTGGTCAAGTGCCACACGCCACTGGGGGAATACGCGTGTGGGCTCTGCGCCGGACCACGTAGGGATTCTGGGGTGATTGTCTTGTGCGAGACGCCTGAGGACCTGGTGGATCATATAGCGAAGGAGCATAAGACTGCTGATATTGAGAAGGATGTCGACATCATCGCGGATTCTTGAGCGTGAGAGATAAGATGTATAATCAGACAAGACAACCGGTAACCCATCTGTTACCCTGGAGCTCATTGTGAGCTCAAGAAAGATATTGGTGTATAGAGTAGAGTCGGCATCGACAAAGCTCCTGAGAAAGCAGGTCAATATAAATGTAGAACAAAAGAGGTCCAGCCCAACACTGGGGTACTCTCAGCATGAAACAAATTGGCTGCAGCCCTGTCCACTATACTCTCGTAGGCGGCTACAAATGGATGTGCAAAAATGTTAAAAGTGAAGGTGAATCATCACCAGATTGTATTGACCTGTGCAGGGGTCGAACCTGCAATCTCCTGATTCCGGATTCTCATGAGAAGATCACGAGTCGTAGTCAGACGCCTTGCCATTGGGCCAACAGGCCTTGTTGGAAACGTGCTCTGAATTGAGATTGATGTTTGACAGTAGAATCATGACGGGAGGCTGGGCCGGGATTCCGGAGAGTTTGGTGTGGAGACCTGAGCATCAGAAATTTCAATGGCGCTCTCCTTGGGGGCAGTGATGTCAGGATAGGCTGAAGTGTCCGGAAGTACTGTCCGAAATTGCCCGGCAGGGCTGGAACAGAGCATTGAAGTGTGGTAGTGTATCATCAGATTTTAATTGCTGTGCGGCGAAGTTCGGGCAAGACGTCGAATTGCTGATAGTGGGATAACCCCGTTCTCTAGCGCTTGGAAAGCAACACACTGTAGGTCCTGAGCGCTGTCGGTCTTATAATCGACTCACAACCTACGTTGGGGCCTCTGTCCCCATATTTATGGAATGTCCGAGGGGGATGGAGCATGACATTCGTCGACGCGTGCAGTGACTGCCGAGGCTCACTCCGCATCACGCAGATGCAACCACTACTGCATTTGGCTCCGGGGGAAATTGCCCCCTTGCATCTCAAATAGGGTGGACTAAGGTCTTTCAACGTCCGTCCTGCATCCCACACTTATTCGCATTGGCAGCACTTTCCAAGCCATGAGTATCATCGAGCATAGCCTGCTGTTGACTACTTATCGACCAGATGCTAAGGCTTGCGGGCGTCAAGTAGATTAAAACGGAGCATGACGGCCCGGCCTTGGTGGAGCGGCCTGGATTTTCCGTCCAGTCGGCCACTGTAGATCTTTTACAGAAATATTTCTCTTTTCAGATTGATCAGACCAAGTCCACCTTCGGCTTCCAAGTGACCTGAATGAGCCCTTGGCCTTTCCGCAGAGCCGGCCTTGGAGAATTATGAGATTAAGAGCAAAAATGTCGTATATAAGTCACTGGATTCCTGTAAGGGCATGTTTGCCTCGGAAAACCATGCTATCATAGTACACTGTCTTTAAACTGCTTGGCAACTGCAAGTAACAACCGGAAATCTTGATAGTTGCGAAAATGTATCTTCCTGTTGTTCTGGTCTCCACGCTGGCAGCAGTAGCCACTGCTCACCAGAACATCCACCAGTTCTGGGTCAACGGCGTCTCCCCCGGCTACGAGATCGGAATCCGCAAAGCCCCGAGCAACAGCCCCGTCACGGACGTGACCAGCAACGACATCACATGCAACGTCAATGGCAACAAGGTCCCCTCGGGTGTGACGACCATCGCGGCGAAGGCCGGAGATACTATCAAGGTCCAGTGGGACTCGTCCACGCATCCTGGCCCCATCACGCACATGCTGTTTGGGCCCGTCGCCGATGCCTCTCAGGCGACCGGGGTGGGCTCGTGGGTCAAGGTTGACGAGCAAGACTACGTCAGCGGGAAGTGGGCGAACGAGATCATGATGGCGGCGAACATGACGCACGAGTTCAAGCTGCCAGCCAAGCTCGCAAGTGGTGATTACTTGGTATGCGTCCCTCCCGGAGCCTGGCCTGGCCGCTGGCCCTCGAGAGGTATCAATTCTGACTGGCTGACTTGTAATTATACAGCTCCGCAGCGAGATGCTGGCGCTCCACGGCGCACAGACGCAGGGCGGCGCTCAGTTTTACATTGGCTGCATGCAACTCCGCGTCACTGGAAGCTCGGCGACCTGCAGCCCCAAGATCACCCTCCCTGGCGCTTACAAGGCTGCCGATAGCAATATCTACATTCCCAACTTCTACAATGGCTTCGACCCGACGACGTACAAGGCCCCGGGAGGCGCGGTTGCGACATGCTCATGAAGTTGGAAGCTAGAAAACATTTTATAGCCCTGCCGCAAGATAGGCGGAGCATCTCAGGGACAAAGCTTGCATTTCCAACGGATCCGAAACCCACTTCGTGGTGGGTTGGCATGTCCTTCTGTATTTGCAGCTGGTAGGAGATGCTCTTCATTATTGTGCAATGGCCCTTTTTTGATACAGCGGTGCGGTATTGACGAAATCTAAACACTTCACAAATCTTCGATGCGGCGTTACCCAAACCTGAACTTCCCCACTAGCACCGACCAACGTATTGCATGAGAATGGTCTGGCCGAATGTACCTCGTCTCATTGTACTCCTTTCTATCGATTGGAGGTCTGGGAGTAAAAGAAATTGTATTCCGTAGCTGTAACCCTGAGATTCCTGTGGATCGAAGCAAACAGACTGCTACAAGTCTAGGCTAAGTAATTGATACATGCAAAAGGAACAGGCCCACCTTGGTTTGTTTTTCCAATCGAGCCGTCTCTTCATGGAGACATTGTCGGCATCGGGGCGTCACATCTGACTCAGTCTGGTTCTGATAATTCCGGTGTAGTTGACACTCTTTTCACTGAAAATATTATGATTCCATGTAGCCAATCGGGATTGCAGCCCTATGATGGGAACGTCCAGGTACGTCTGGTCAAGCTCTAGATGTCTGCCTCCACCGCACGTAAGGCTGGGGCAGTTTCTGTCGGAGCCGTTCTGCACACAGCGCATTCAAGAATGTATCCCATCAAACTATGTATCATGTTTGGTGCTTATGTGGTCAGTACGAGCCTCAGATAACCTGACGTGTCGGCACGATCAAGAGTTGACATTTACTTGGCTGCTATTACTGCTCCTCTCCCCTGTCGTAAAGTACCGGGATCATAGCTGCATGATGGAGACAGGTATCGGACAACGGGACTCGTGCCGGGCCGAGGGGTAGCCCTGCACTTTGCTGTCTATAACAAGGGAACAAATCAGACATGTGAAGGCCACGGCTGTAGCCGATTCCCTAACCAATTATCGTTGTGAAATCGTTGGAGAGAACCCAAAGTTTCCATGCATCTAATAGAGATGGATGTCTCGGAGGAATAGCCGGGCTGCAAAGAGATCAAGCTCCCACTGACCACAGGCTCCCGCTGTTTCTGCAGGATCCGCGCGATGTAGCCCTCATCAGGGCTGCCACTAGTGCACAATACCACCACGGCAGTCTGCACAGTGGGAAAAGTTCTAAAAACAGCTCCTTTAAACAGCTGCCTGGAACACAGGCTTCTTACTCAGCCGCCTCTTGGGCCAAACAGAGCCACTCGAGCTTCCAGAGGGGTTTGCCCAAAGGCAACATCTAAGGTTTCGCGTGTGATCCTTCGACGCGAGCTGAAAGCGCTAGCCGGGGGGCCGGCAGATTGTGCCTGTCTCGAAAGCCACACATTTCAATAAACTCCTTCACCAGAAAACAGGTGCAAGTACCGGGGCTGCACAGAATGGCTAGATTTACAGCCTGCATTACCCTGGTAAATGGGAAGAGATAAGTGCAGAGGTGACCCCATGGAGCATTTTGAAGTTTCGCGTGGTCCCCTTTCCCAGCCCAGCTTCGAGCCTTCATATACTAGAGGATACACCAGGGTCTTTACCAGTGCTCACCTAGTCAAGTGAAGCTGAAGATGGCCTCGCAGTACCAGCAGCCCCCAGGGCAATACTACCCACAACAGGCTATCGAAAAGGGGCACAATATGGGAGTCCCGCCTCAGAACATGGGATACAACCCCAACCAGCAGCAATTGGCATATGTGAACGGGCACAATCCTGCTGGTTACAGCCATGCGCCTCCAGGAGCCGTGTATACGCAGCCCACATCCGGCGCACCCGCATCGTCCGGGGGGAAGCGGACCTCGTGCTTCGCCCTGATGGCCGCGCTCCTCCTCCTCATTGCCGCGGTCATCGGACTGAGCGCCGGCCTGGGCGTGAGCCAAAGAAACCTGCGCAGCGCAAAGGCTGATCTCGCAAGGGCAACAGAATCGTGAGTTCTGCCCCGGATCCCATCCGGGTAATCACAGCCTTGAGGGTGCGTGACTTGTTAACACCGCAAATAGGCCAGCAGCAACGACAGTATTCGTGACAGCCCGTCCGACCTCAACGCCCACATCAACATCATCCTCGGCCTCGGCCTCCGCCACGCCGGACACCTCGAACATCACCTGCCCGGGGTCCAACAACACGCTGTACACGTCCGACACGGACTCGAAGCGGTTCCAGCAGTTATGCGGAGTTGACTACTCGGGCGACCAGGCCGTCGACGTGGGGAGCGTCAAGGTCACGAGCATGGACCTGTGTATGGACGCCTGTGCCTCGCAGTCCAACTGCACCGGCGCCGGCTGGGGCTACCTCGAGGGGGACAACGGTACCGAGCACAGCTGCTGGATGAAGGCGAACCTGACGGAGTCTCACAACGCCACGGCTGAGTGGGCGTTTGCTATCCTGCTGACCAACGGGTCGGAGTCGGCCGTGCAGGAGAAGAGGAGGCGCAGTGGTGGCTCCACCTGGTGGCTCTGGGGGGCGTGAGCCGTGAGCGTCGAGGGCCGGGAGTCGCGCGTTGGCGACTACAGCGGGCTTATGTTGTAATTATGCTTAATATTCGGTATGAAAGAAGCAATCAGATATGGATCCATAGCAACATTGGCTTCAATATTAACGCCAGTGCTTAGGTCATTCTCTTCTCCAGGACTATCCAATATAAGACCAAGCGGCCACCCTCCGAGCTCCATCCATGTTCCTTATACTTGCGCAAAGCCCAGCCAAGCCTCGACAAATCTTGCCCAAATGCGAGCTGGTCGACGTCGTCCCTGTTGACTCGCTTTTGGCGAGCGACGCAGACACTCAGTAATCTTGAAAACCGGTCTGATTCGACAAGCTCGAGCAGTTGCCAATTCTCCACGTCCACCTCGCCTGGATAGAGATGCAGGTGCTCTAAGCTATCTGGAAGAAGGTCAATGAGTCTCGGGATCCCCTGCGGCAGCACCAGCGCTTGACCTTCGGCGGACTCGTCGCTTGGGTCGACCTCGGGGGTTCTGACCACCATATCCCACGGCAACGTGAGCTTCTTCAGACGGTTCAACGTGCAGAGGGATCCCAGGCTGCCTCTTGGCGTCTCAGGAAGGGAACCGATGTCTAAGTTCTCCAAATTCTGTCCGAGGTTCCTGAGGATATCGCCCACAAGAGACAAATCAATCCGATACATATACAACCCTTCCAA